GAGAAACACGATGAAAATGAGCCGTAGTCCTTCTATTCTATAAAGCACTAACTTTGTGTGTCGGTTTGTCGGTCTGTATGTATGTAAGTATGTATGTATGTATGTTTGTCCGTCCGCAAAATGCTTCACGGGTTCGAGTTCGCTGGAGGCGAAAACGACCGCTAGGCAAACAGGCAAATCGGTGCGGAAGTATCAATCCAATGTTTTGATCGTGATATCGGCCTCCGCTATATAAGACAACCATTCGGTACACTCCGAGCCATTGCACGAGCTGCTGGCGTGGCAGCTGGACGTGTGCTCGTGCGGGGGCAGGGTGGGGTGGGGCCGAGAGGGGAGGGGGGGGACGCCCAGTGCCCCCCCCCTCTGCTTCCTTCCCCTGCGCGTGCTCAGCCCGATCTGAGCATGCGCAAGAGAAGGAAGCAGAGGGGACGGTCCGACTGGAACACTGGGGCGTTTGTTCAAGGTATGATATAGGTTATGGCACAGGAATATGTGGGTGACAAGAACTGCTAGCTGATAAAGGGAGTTAGAGTGGAAAGGACAACATACTCATAACGCGGGACACAGCATCAGTTAGGCGTTGATTTCAGCAAATGATAGGAGAAGGCGACGGCGGGTGACAGGAAATGATAACAGCTGATAGGGCCTGATAGAGAACGATGCAGTTGTTGTTCAATCAAACGCTGGAGCCTCTACACCACGAAATTATGGAGTTTTAGTGATAGCGACATTGATGACGGGTGACAAGCAATTTTATCAATTGATAAGTAAAGATAAGGGGACATTCTCACGACATCTCTGAAACAGGAAGTTTGGAAAAATCAAAAACTTCAATATTGGAACACACTTTATGCGTTCAGTGAGTATTTAACTATTTTTTTTGCTTTTCAACTTTTAATCACTGATGAGAACGAATAACGAAGTAGTTTGTAAGATATTCAATGAACGCAGCCTAAATATTGTCATCTGCAGCCATTCATGCAACCTTAGCAGGTGGATTGCATGTTAATGACAAGTTAATCGCCCATCGTTGGTGTTGTGATGCAGGTAATAAAAACGGAATTGTTCATCTACTGTGCAACTCATATTGATATTGCGCTCATGGCCGACTGTACTTCCTATATCTTCCACGATCTACGTATGGGCGTTATGGCCGAAACCAGCACGCCTTCCGCAAATCTGAGGGGTGCAGATTTCGCTAGGTTACTCTGTCTATTATGATTCGACCACTACCGCGCAATATGAGCAGCTCAGGCAATTAACAAATTCCATCCCGTATGATGTGCGCCTGGCGAAGCCAGGCCAGCTCGGCGAAGCCGAGCTGAAAAGAAGGAGGAGAGCTCGGCGTCAGCCGGGCGATCCGACTGGTAAATCATAAATCAATTAACAAAAGTAATCCCACTATATATAATCCGCTAAGTATGTCTGTAAGTGTGTGTGTGTTGTGTGTGCGTCTGTCTGTCTGTCACGAAATTCATAGCGAGCGTCGCAGAAAAGATAGGACGACAGTTCCAAGAAGTGATATACATGGCAGGACGGGAACACTTTTGGTGGGTGACAGGAGGTGATAACACCTGATAAGATTCGATAAGGGGCCTTAGAAGGGGAGGGTGACCGAAATCGTAGCGCGAGTTGCAGCAGCTGCGGGACCGTGATTTCAAGAAGTGATATACATGGCAGGACGGGAACACTTTTGGTGGGTGACAGGAGGTGATAACACTTGATAAGATTCGATAAGGGGCCTTAGAAGGGGAGGGTGACCGAATTCGTGGCAAGTTGCAGCAGCTGCGGGACCGTGATTTCAAGAAGTGATATATGGGGCTGACAGGAGCTGATAACATCTGATAAGATCCGATAAGGGACCCTAGACGCGGGTGTCACCAAATTCTTAGCGCAGGTTGCAGCGACCGTGGGACCTTGATTTCAAGATGTGGTATAGGGTAAGGGAAGTGGACATGATTGGTGTGTGACAGAAGCTGATAACATCTGATAAGATTCGATAAGGGGCCTTAGATGCGGAGGGTCACCAACTTTGTAGGGCAGGTTGCAGGGTCTGTGGGACCTTGGTTCAAAGAAGTGGTATAGGGGGAGGAGGGCGGGAACCCACTGACGGGTGACACTAAGTGACAGCAACTGATAAGGGTTGAAAGCGTCATCATGCGGGAATCCGCAACACCGCTTACTGCCACAATGCGATTGATATGACAGGTATCAGGCTCTCAGTAGTTCGTACACAACTCACTCCTATGCTCTTACCGCTATCGACATCATGTACGGCCGCTAAAGCAACTGGAGTTCAGATGCATGACGGTTGTTTACTCAGTTGCCATGAACTGCAGCAACTAACTTTATCACTATGACCATGATTATCTTCCATCAACAACCCGAGAGAGGACCATTCGAAGCGCAAGACTGCCGAATGCGGGAGTGCATTCCAGAAAAAACCCTACAGTGGTGGAGAACGCATTGAGCGGTAGGATGCTTCGAAGGCTGCTCTTACAGGTTACTGAATTTTCGTGTGAGGGTTATGGAGATTTTTGGTACTAACCCCGAGAAAAGAATGGACAAAAGGATAGATTTCAGCGTTACATTGGGACAACGGTTACAATTCTACCATATATAATCGACTATGCGTGCGTGTGCGTCTGTCTCTTTGACACGAAATTCATAGCGCCGGTCCCAGTAGCAGCGAGATATTGGTTCCAAGAAGTGACGTAGAGGTGTGACGGGAACACTATTGGTGGGTGATAGGAAGTGATATCAGTTGATAATATCTGATAAGAGGCCTCAGAATGGAACTCTCACCATATTCGTAATGCGGGTCACAGCATCAGCCAGGTGTTGATTCCAACATATGATTTAGGGTATGGGACAGGAACATTATTGGTGGATGACAAGAACTGTCAGCTGCTGATAAGATTCGAGATGTTAGAAGGGTATGGTCACTGAGTCCATCACGCGAGTCACAGCAACAGTAGGAGGTTGGTTCCAAGATACGATGTAGGGTTTAGGAAAGGAACACTAGGTTGGTGACAAAAACTGCCAGCATCTGATAAGATTGGATGAGGGGCGTCAGGCTCTTTCTTTTGATGTCATTAGAATTTCGGAAGTAACAAAGCGCTGTATGTTGCACGATCCTCTGGCCAGATTCAACTTTAACCCATTGCTCGAGCTATTTTCAATTATTTTTCTACATTTTGCTAAGGAAAGAGTGCCTGGCGAAGCCAGGCCGGCCCGGCGAAGCCGGGTGACAAAAAGGAGGAGCACCCGGCGGCAGCCGGGTGATCCGACTGGTAAATTATATATGAGTTAAAAGACACAAGGAAATAAAGAAAATGCGGGAAATTGCAAGTGCCAGCACTTGTATATTAATTGCTTGCGGTCATTCAAAGCTGAGCGCGGCGGAAAAAAACCACTTATTCGAGTTCACATGATTTTTAGGTTCTTTCTTCTCTTTTGTGTTCATATCCACGAGGTGTTTTTAATAACCGCGATGGCTTCCCTCCCTTCATTTCGGTCAAGTATTACACTGTCCTTTGTGCAGTGCAGAAGTGTGCCAATATCTAGCGCTATCTTCATTTTCTATTGAATAGCTTAGCCTTCATCATTTTCTCGATATTATCCTGCTCACGTTCAAGGCAGGCCGACCGTTCTTTAAGCTGGTGAGTCACTCTGCGTCAAGGCACATCATTGGTTGGGGATTTTAGTCAACGAGTCTGTACGACCCCCCCCCCTCTGTCCCTCCTCATCGAATCGAGCCGTCGAGCGGGGGGGGGGGAAGGGGACCCCTATTCGGAATTCCCCAACAACGATGTGCCCTGCCCTGCGTGCCTGACTGGAGCGCTCTCCCGTCTGGTGCCTGGCCTCGAGAGCGAGACGCAGAGAAAAAAACAGATTAGTTGTCCTAAGACGGTGAGCGCGCTTTATGCTGTGGTATTGGAGCGAGCTTTATTACGGTTCGGATGCACTCTCAAGTCAAGCACCCCAGGTACCCTTATTTTGAACACCCATAACTTGATGCGGTTTTCAAATCGACACGTATACATTTCCTGTCTGCAATTTCGTTATTTCTGCAACGTCGCCATGTATGACGCGGCCTTACGCTTTGAACTGCCATAACAATCTTCATGCAAGGCCATTTATGAAACGAAAAGCAGTGACGGAATTTCGTTTCCACTTTCCAGCAAGACTTTCATTTTATCCCTAGGCCAGCTATTCGAAAAAAATCCCCGTTGTGATCAGAAGCAACCCCTTCCAAGCGACACGAAAAACCTGTCGCGACGCGGCTCCCACTTGCGGTGTTGAACACCCATAACTTCTGTGATAGTGGAGGTTTTGAAGAGGGGAAAGCAGGCTGTGGAGCACTAGGTTGACACTTATTACTCGAGTTCATGCGATTTCAAAAAAAAAACCCAACACGCCGTCCGACGCCACAGGACCCAACACGGCGCGCGCGCCCGTTCCCCACTTCTGCGCTGGCAGGTTGCTTCGTTTTGTATGTGTGTCTCTTCTTCTTCTTCACATGAATAAGTCTTATACCTCCGTTATACTCTGGTATAAATACCATTTTGAATTATCATAACACCGAGGTTGTTTGTTGCAGGTTTATTCGTTGGCGTCCAAATATTGCATGTGCCTATGTTTTGTGTACATAATTATTTACATCGTGAACTTATGTTCTTAACAATATCAGTATGCGTGCTTAATATGAGTTAATGACCATAATTAACAACACGTAGTAAATGACGAGAAAGCATTATAGTATTGACTCTATCATGATCATACACGTAATAACGTCGAAAACTGAGAAGGCACATGCTCAATATAATATTGTGAACAAGTGGCATTACTTAATTAGCCAATCACCGTAATAAGCTATTACATTTACAACGCGAATTGATCTTAAGCATTAGCGAGACAACAGCAAAATAGGGTGTATTTGAAGTGTGAGACTATGCGGCTGATGCGACGATGTGAAATACCCGATCGTAGTCCACTTCTTAGATCGCCGCTCCATAGTAGTAGCAGTAGATAACAAGAAAAGAGACCTGTAGATAAAGTTAAGCGTATACAACGACCGATGCCTAGCAAAAAAAGTTGAGTAACTACGAAGCAGGGAATTGTGAGCTGCTAGTAGTGTGTGTTGGGAGGAAAACTGGCTTGGGGGATATATAGCTGGAGAAAGCTTTGGTGGATTTCCACCTACCCGCCTGCATGACCCGAATTTGGTCAAAGCCCAGGTCGAGAGCTAGGGAAGCGGCCCCCCCTCTGAACGAATGTGAGGTTATAGATAAGTGCTGAAGTTGACATGCTCGTAATAGCGATATGAGCCTATCCCTCAGAGTGGCGTAAGTGAGGGGCGCACCCGTAGAGGAGGATTGAAACAGATACACCGCGTTACTTATTGAGGCCAGATATTTGAGCAGCAACTCCTGTTCTAATTTGTCCAGACGGAAAGCGCATACTGAGCCTGCCCCATATTGGTCCGTTTTGGACTTAGTGACCGTAAGGTGCCACTCAACATTACTGACGCGCTTGAGGTCCTGTACTTTGAGACATCTAGCCTCCCCTATCCTGAGGAAAGCCTTAAACTGGAGCAATGCCAGAGACGCCGCTTGTGTTATGTTGGGATCCTGTGACCCAATACCCTGGTTTATGATTTTGCGTAAGGACTGCGGGTCAATCTTGGCGCGATGGGTTACCGGAGGTGCTGACCTCTTCTCCGCCTCGAGTAACGAGGCCTGGATGTCTCTGTCGACGCCTATCTGGGGGCCGTAGAAATAATTAAGAGCTGCTACGACCAGAGGTAACGTCTTGCTCCTGCCTTCATAAGCGCCTTTGGCTAAGTACAAATTTCTGGCCTTAGAAAGAGGAATATTATGAAATCGATAATCCTGTTTCCATGCAACGAATTTTCTAAGTTCTGCCTTGTAACTGGCAATCGTGTTAGGAGCTCGATCCGTTTGAAGAGCTTTCATGATGATTTTCCCGACGAGTGGGATACCGAGGTCGGAGGCTTCTCGGGCCAAGTCCGCTCCTTTTCGGAATCGTGAGGCTGAAAAGAAGAGATGGGTATTTCCTCCAGAAATCCAGGGGCGGGCGGGCGGGGACCGCTCTGGGACGCCGTAGAAACCTGGATGGCCCTACCTGGGCGGGACTCAGCGAAGAGGTCACTTCGCCCCGCCCAGAATCTGACGCCACCGTCAGCAGATCGATAATTCAAAATATTACTTATACCTCCGTTATACTCTGGTATAAATACCATTTTGAATTATCATAACACCGAGGTTGTGGAACCGGAAAAGCCTGGGGACTAGCAAGAAAGCTACTCGCGACGAAACGGGGCCTCTCTGAAGTCGATGAGGAGGAAAACAAATGGGGATTTTGAGAAAGGCGAACCGAAGGCCCCTGGCTGACCCTCTTCTTGAAACAACTTGGTACCTGTGGGAAAAAGGATTGCATCTATCACAAACTCAGCCCATGCCCCACTGTCCTTTTTTATGATAGGGAAGAAGGGCTGTGAACTCCACAGAGGACAACCTAGAATTCCCACCGATCTGTGATGTGCCGCCCATTTGAGCGTTTTAGAAATAAGAGACACTGGCGGAACTAACCAAAGGAATCCGTGCTTCCATGCATCGCAGTGGTCAAAGCAATTGACTCCGGCAGTTCCTGGACATGGGTTGCTAGAAAAGAAAATCTTGCATTTGGTGCTGCGATCGTTAGCAAACATGTCAACATTAGGGATGCCCCACTTTGTGACCACCGCAGAGAAAACAGCGCTAGAAATCCTCCAGTCATCAAAATCTACATCCCTACTCGCCGAATCCGCTAGGGTGTTGAGCTCCCTGGGGATCCACCTCACAGATACTTGAATCCTATAGTTTTCCTGAATCTGCCACGTCTGCTGCGCTAAACGGTGAAGGGACTGAGACAGGCTCCCTTTATTATAAATGGAGGTGGCTGCTTGGTTATCTGTGTTGATAATAGCGCTACCTTTCAGGCAGTTTTTAAACGAATCCAGCCCAAACGAAATAGCGAACAACTCTCTAGCAGTGCTAGATTCTCCTAAGAGGGAAAAAGGCAGCTCTCTGAAAGCTTTGCCCAATACTGTCCCTACTCTGTCTACTAACACAGCACCCACTGAGTGCTCAGATGCATCCACCTGTATGGTATGCTCGTAAACAACATGATCTTCACTAGGAAAAAGAGATCTAACCATACCTGCTTCCAACCTGTGTAGCCAAAAGGACAACTCACCTTTTTCTTCGTCTGTCTTGGCCCATCTGCGTCTAAGAGGCCACTCAAGATTCTGAGCAGAGGCGATTTCCCGGGCTACTCCCCGAGTATAACGAATGTCTGAAATGCTCATGACTAAGTGCATGGAAGACAACGTTCCTGACCAGCTCAGCCTATCGTACAAGGACGGGCGCGCGGATTTCAACAACGATAAAAGTCTACGCCTGGCTTTTATGACTCTATCCTCTGATATGCTGAGAACCATGTCAACGAGATTAATGCTGAAACCTAGCCAATTCGCTACCTGGGACGGCACCCAGTTACATTTCTCTTCCGCGAAGTGCCAACCGGCTACTAGCAGGTCATTCTTGATGACTGACACAGCTTGAAGGCATCCCTCTCTCGAAGGGTGGAAAATTATCCCGTCATCTATATACACTGCTACCCCTAGCCCTCCTTGTCTCCACTTCTTGATGAAGGGGCGAAGTATCTTAGTAAAAATATGAGGAGCTGAGGCGAGCCCGAATGGTAAACAGAGAAATTGGTATAATTTCCCTTCCCATTTGAAACCGAGATAGTCGATGTGATCTCGAGAGATCCTTACGTGGTGGTAACCCGACCTAAGATCAAAAGTTGACATGAACCCCTTGACTGGTAGAACATGCAGAACTGTACTCATGTCATCCAACTTGAATTTCGGCACATCAATGAACTTATTCAGATGAGAGAGATCGTGTACCAACCGCAACTTCTTACCTTTAGCTACTGAAAGGGGGTGTACGTGCAAATTCTCGATCGAAGGCTCAGGTACTTCTCTAACCACACCAGATTGCAGAAGATCTGAAATTTCGCTAGTTACGAAATCTGCATGCTCGAGAGCACTCTTACGATTCCCGTCATATTTCGGCCTCGTAGGCGAGGACATAAATGGTATAGAGTAACCATATCTAATAGTGGTCGAGACCAAAACAGACGGCTCGAGAGCCTCCCATACTGGAGATTGGAAGTGGATGGATCCAGCGAAAAACTCACCATTTCCTTTGGGGGCACTCCCTCCACCAGTGCCCCTTCTCTGCCGCAATTTTTGCACTCGCTCTTGATCCGGTCCTTCTCTCTGGCATACGGACGCATCGCATACTTGCGCGGCGGAGACTGGTCCCTCTTGTACTTCCGAGACCCTTCAGTCCCACTCCACGACGAGAAAGGGAACGACGACGAAGAGGGAGGGAACGAAGGACTCTGGCGCACGATGCGAGCGTACTGGGAGGCAGGGTGCCAGGCTGCCTCCCGCTTTCGAAAGGGCTGGACCCTCTTTTTTACATCCTCTTCTTTCTTTCTGATGGATTCCATGAACTCGCTCAGGCGAGGGTCCGTGGCCTTCAGGGAGTCGGCCTTTAGACTTGTGATCCAAAAATTGGAAGACTTCCGGGTGCTCGTCTGCGATTACCAGCGTTTCATTTCTAGTGTTCAAATCCTGGATCACTTGAGTTATAGTTGTAGCTATTTCATGACTCGTCGACGATTGTAGCGGAATCAGCTTACGTAGAATAGACGAGTTAAATTCGAACTGTTTAGCATACCCTTCTCTCTTGAAGACAGGTTTAGCGGATGGGGTAGCTGGTTGAAGTGTTTCTGTCCTTATAGCATCTATGATTGACCGGATGTCCCTCGGATCTAGTCGAATGGCCGCGTCAGCATTTTCCGTCGTCTCCACACATTCTTCGTAGATAGCTTCTGTAGGATGTGAATAGCTAGGAATATCTTCCTCCATGCTTGATGAATACTTAGATGAATAGTCGACCGCTCTGGGACGCCGTAGAAACCTGGATGGCCCTACCTGGGCGGGACTCAGCGAAGAGGTCACTTCGCCCCGCCCAGAATCTGACGCCACCGTCAGCCGATCGATAATTCAAAATATTACTTTCATCATTGCTGAACGACATTTGGGTTCGCTGCATCCTCACTTCAGAAAGAGCCCTGCGCTCACGCCCTCCCCCTTCCCTCGCGCTCAGATGCGACCACCCTGTTGTGATTATGAACCAAACATTATGAACCAATGAACCATGCAAACTTGAGCCCGATCGAAACATGAAACTCCGCGTCCCTTAAAGGACGAAACGGTCATCAATTAATGTGCTCCAATGCGACAACGACACTGGTTACGGTAACATTGCGGTGCAAAAAGCTGAAATGTTGTGCAACACTATTTCCTGACCACAGCTCGCCAGAAGTCACTTTGTTAAGCTTGACAGATTCCTTACATTTCGCTTTGCATTACCTCGTCATAGCTTTCTTTGTTACCGTGGAAACATTTCGCCTGTTTCAGTCCAGCGTCTCCAAGAAGCAGCTTCAAAATGAGCAGAATGCCCGTTCCCGATGGTTCAA